AAGAGAGAGAATATTTCTACGTATTGGTTTAATGTTTTCCTTTTAAAGTACCCAATTCTATGCAATTCTCTATGATATATCCTTAGTTTCTCTTATCCTTAAAATGAGAAACAGTCTTCCCCCTCCCTGCCCTCAATATCCTCCCATCTACAACACTTGGCACACTTGCCTCATTTCCACTCTACACTTCTGTCTTATTAAACTTTACAGCACTGGCAATGTGTTTAAAGATGTTCCTCTCTCTTTATAGTTAAATAGCAGACTGAGTGGAAATGTGAGTTCCCTTGAGACACACAGAGACATCTCTGGTGAGAAAGGTATTTTGACCCCAAGTGGAGTACCAGATGGAGACAGCAGGCTTCTCCCTAGTCATTGTGGCCAGGAGGACATGGTATGGCATCCTGCTTCCCTCATTCGCCTCCTTTCCATGCACAGTTTCCATTTCCAGGGCTGGGGGTGGGACAAGAATGTGCAACAAAGCAGAAGGTACACAGTACCCAAGAGAAAGTGTATTACAGAATGCTACAGCTAGAAGGGCCCTTATGACACATCTAATTCAAGCCCCTAATTTCATAGGAACAGAAAGGAGTCCTGAAGAGTGAGTAGTCCAAAGATACACAGCTGGTGGCTGGAACCAGAACCCAGGTAACCAGCCCACTCCTCTCTGATCCTCTAAGCCACGACAGAACTGGGTATACGAAAAGTATATAACATTAAGTCTATGAACAAGCCCTCAACTCACCCCCACCAACCAAATAAATGTACCTCTTTTTAAACTACCTGTGTTTCAATCTCTTTTTTTTTCAGTCCCTTTAGCTTACTAAGCTCAAATTTCTGATTCTTATCCAGGATGTAATTGATACCCTGGTGGCCTGAGTAGTCAGAATCCCAACTCTGTCCCACCATGTTTTAGCCTGAGAAGGGAGATCTCTGGGAAATAGAAGTAGAATGAATATAAGTAACTACTTCGAATCAGGAATATCCTGGATCTACACATCATGCTTATAATAATGCTGACTCTAAACTCAGCAGCTTTTGAAGCTTATGCTAGCAGAAAGGCATCTGCTACCCCATCTTGCTACCCCATCCAGCAAGAGAGAAAAATTCATGAATTAATAACAAATAAGGAGGCTGGAAGGAGGGCACATTCTTTGAGTTCAGTCTGGAGGGTATGAGACTCACTACCTCCATTCAGCCAGAGCGGAAAATGACCTTTAAGGCAGTATGTACCATATTAGAAGAGGGTACAACCCAGGATGCATGAACTCAGTCCTCTGACATTCCCTGTCCATATGTAGGAGAAGTCAGTTCTTGATTATCTCCCAAATGATTACCCATTTGGTGAGCTACCTGCAGTGCCTAGAGGCTGCCAGACAAAGCTGGTTAGAAGCAAACAATGGTCTAATGTACTTCCCACCTTCCCAAATCACGTGTTGGCCTTTAAGCACAGGCCTTGGTGCCTCAAGCAAAAGGAGTGACTAATGCCTCTCCTAGTAGGCTGGTAGAATAGGTCCTTTTGAAAACACAGGCCTTGTGGCTGCATGTCACAGCTCTGTTCCATCGCCTGATGTAAAACTGCTCTAGGACTGAAACAGGCAGAAGGTACTGAACTCTCGTACACAGGGGCAACTTGGTGAATGCCTAAAAAGTATAGCTGAATTCCAAATTAAAGTATTTTGGGGGTTATATATTTTTATGTTATTCAGATCCACAGTTAATCATAGCAAGAATCATTCTTACACTCTGTTAGTTTATCTTCTCCAAGAAAAACTGATTCTCACTGTATTCCTGAGGGGATTAGGTACTCTAAAACTGGCCATCAAAAGGATAGGATTAATTTAAAATACATAACAATTAGCAAACTAGCAAAATGAGAAAATATCTCCTTTAAATGAAAAAATTATCTCTCTCTCAAGGCTGGGCATGGTGGCTCACGCCTGTAATCCTAGCACTCTGGGAGGCTGAGGTGGGCGGATTGCTCAAGGTCAGGAGTTCAAAACCAGCCTGAGCAAAAGCGAGACCCCGTCTCTACTATAAATAGAAATTGATTGGCCAACTTATATATAGAAAAAATTAGCCAGGCATGATGGCGGCATGCCTGTAGTCCCAGCTACTCGGGAGGCTGAGGCAGTAGGATCACTTGAGCCCAGGAGTTTGAGGTTGCTGTGAGCTAGGCTGACGCCATGGCACTCACTCTAGCCTGGGCAACAGAGTGAGATTCTGTCTCAAAAAAAAAAAACATTATCTCTCTCATAGGGCTTAGATATGATGAAGGGGAAAAAAAAAGGAAGAAAGGATAAATGAATGAATGAAAAACTCAGAAAGTCAGGGTAAACTAAGGATTTAACTCACAGCCAAATGTTAGGGCCCCTAACAGACAGACAGAATAGGAAGGTGAACAAAAGCTCTTTATGCCTGCTGGGTTCCTAAGAGTCTAAAATGAGGGATTAAAATGGCTTTCTTTCAACAGAATACATTTTGTCATCTGATCTCTATCCGTGACATGGATAAGAATAAGTAACTTATGGCTGCACTCTTAAGCAGCAACAACTCACTGAATGCTGTGCCTCATCCACCTTACGATGGCAAATCACTAATTGCTTATCGGGAAAAAAATCTGTTTATAACCTTTAATTTACATTTTTATTTTAAGGCTGGTCAAGTGAAGCAGTGGGAGCGGAGAAGGAACAAAGGAATCTATAACTGGTCGTGATCAATTAGTCGTAAACACCACTGCATGAAGACCAACCTACATTTTTATTTTAAAATAAACACAAACAGTGTTTACAAAACACATCAACTGCAAGGGGGAAATGAGACAATAAGGATGAAAGACAGAAAGGAAGCGAGAAGAGACTCAGCGCCCACTAACACGATGGTCGGGGAGCATGCAGAGGCCCTTGCCATGACACTGTCCTCTCACTGCTACTCACACGGAAGCTCAGTGTACGCACCAGGCACTTGGAGCTAAAGGGTCAAAGAGAAGCATTTCATTCCTAAAAGGTGATATCAATTTTTACTCACTCAGCAATCCAATTCCTTCTTCACAATCTAATTTCTAGGACTCTATTCTAAATAAATTACCAAAGATAGCATCAAAGAGATACACACAGGAAAGTTCATCATGGCATCACCAATAAATAACAAAGGATTTGAAGCCAAAAATTTCAACAGTGTGGGAATGGATAAAATAAGGGAGAGCCACTAGAAATCTATTTTTTTTTTTTTGACAAGAGTCTCGCTCTGTTGCCTGCACTAGAGTGCCATGGCATCAGCTCACAGCAACCTCAAACTCTTGGGCTCAAGTGATCCTCCTGCCTCAGCTTCCCAAGTAACTGGGACTACAGCATGTGCCACCATGCCCAGTTAATTTTTTCTGTATATATAGTTTTAGTTGTCCAGATAATTTCTATTTTTAGTAGAGACAGGGTCTCCTCTTACCTTGAGCAATCCACCTGTCTCCTTGGCCTCCCAGAGTGCTAGGATTACAGGCATGAGCTGCCACATCTAGACTTAGAAATATATTTTCAAAGATTTAAAGACACAGAAAATTACTTGTGACACCACATTAAGTGAAGGAGAAAAATTAGGGTACCAACCTGTGTGTGTGTGTATGATCCTCCATTTTGTTTAATTGTACATATTAATTCATTTTTAAATACACCAGCAAAGGTTAGCTCTGTTCTAGGTAGAGGGAAGATGGATGATTCTTATTCTTTAGACTCTTCTCTAATGAGTATACATTACTTTTTTTTTTTTTTTTTTTTTTTGAGACAGAGTCTCGCTTTGTTGCCCAGGCTAGAGTGAGTGCCATGACATCAGCCTAGCTCACAGCAACCTCAAACTCCTGGGCTCAAGCGATCCTCCTGCCTCAGCCTCCTAAGTAGCTGGGACTACAGGCATGCGCCACCATGCCCGGCTAATTATTTCTATATATATTAGTTGGCCAATTAATTTGTTTCTATTTATAGTAGAGACGGGGTCTCACTTTTGCTCAGGCTGGTTTCGAACTCCTGGCCTCGAGCAATCCGCCCACCTCAGCCTCCCAGAGTGCTAAGATTACAGGCGTGAGCCACTGCGCCCGGCCACATCACTTTTATTATCGGAAAAAAAAAATATATTTATTTTAAAACATGTCTACCCTAAAATTTCTCATTTAAGATGGCAACTGTCAGTCTTAGGAAAAGGCTGCTAAAGTTCAAGGCAGACTCAGGGAATAAAAAGGTTTAAATCTATACAGTAACTCTTTCCTGAAAAGGATGAGAAATCTTGTGTGACACAGTGTGGCCTTATCCTCCACCTTGCCGCTGGACCTATTTTACTGGGCCTTGCAGGAAGCTCTGTTGGAGAACCCATTCCGTCTTCCCATGGCAACCACTACAGCCTAAGTTACCTCTTTAGTGTTGCTCCCCTCTTAGCATGAGAATTGGAGGGAAAGAGAAAGAAACAGTCCAACTCTCATTTCAAACAAAAAGTTTTTCTTGTAAAGCTATCAAAATGACTCAAAATGAGCTGCGTAAACTTTGAAACGTAAGTCATGAGTTATGTTCGGTAACCACGGTTGCTTAGCTTTCAAGGGTGAATATAAAAACAAATCTCCAAGTGCCACCTTGTGGCAAGCCTGACTGTTACCACAACCAAGTACCAAGGCTCTCTTCTAGGCCCGGGCTCCACACCACACAGCTAGGACAGGCCCCATAATAACTATACATTGAATCTGCATTCCCCAAAGTGGCTGGTACTATTAGTTTTAAAGGATTTCTAGTTTAGATCTTAGCTATGACTGAAGACAAGCGGGAACGAAGGAGCAGAGGAACAAAATGCAGGATGGGACATGCACCACCGATAGCCGCTGGTGCACTGTGTGTGGTATATCCGTGTACACAAACCATGGCACTGCCAAGAGGCAGGGACCTGTAGGATAAATATCTCCATCTCCAAGAATATTTAACAATTTTATAAAGTTACATAGAAAATCTTTACATTTACAATCAGTGAGCTTTGCGTTTAGAAGAAGTTTTATTTATCAATGTTAGAGCAACCATCACCGACTTGGGCACAATTCCAAAATAGAGCTCTTGTTGGATTCTGGTTATAAAATTCTTTTTTAAGCTTGTTAAGATCTTGTAAAATATGAATGTTTTCCTAACACTTAAGAAAAAATACTAATCACTAATAAGTTGAATTCATACTCAAAGTGGTGGCCTCACATTTTGAAAATGAACCACCATCCCCCTTATAAAACATCAAATGTATTATATTAACAAATTCTGGTGTCCCAGGCTTCAGAGGAGATGAATTAGTCCTCACATTGCAACCTGACCAAATGACTCCAGAAGTGAATTAAGTACTTAAAAGAGGTCAGCACTGCAAATCTGATAGAATACAGAACACTAACAGGAGATGATACTGGTTCTGAGAAAAGATAATCTTCCCCTTAGAAAGGGATTAAGCTAAAAACCTTGCAGTTCTGGGCAGGAGGAGCGCAACAAGCAGGCAACACACAACACGAAAGGAAACGCTGAGCAAATGGTCAGAGTTCTACTGGGAGGTGGTGTTTATGGTCCTTTCTGCCCCACCCAGGCTGAAGGCTCATTTCCAGAAAAGGATTTCCTCCAGTGTTAGGGTGGAAGCACATGGCAGGAAGTGCTACTTTTGGTCTTGGATTTGTAAAGGGGAGCATTTTCAAGTAATATGAAATAAACTGAAGTGACCCAGATGGGATGGATCCCAACCAGATAAGTTATGGGACAGCAGGAAGCCAAAGAAATTATAATTATGAGGTTGAATTAGGAAAATAAATCTGACTCCTTATTCACTTCTCTGACCTCTGGAAGAACTTCTCTCCTCCTAACCTGATTAGATTAACATGCTGGACAGCCCCTGTTAAAGATAAACCAACATACTGGACAGGGAAGAAATATACTAAAAACAGTTTCAGAGAGTCTTAACAATTATTTCAGGGAGAAGTCTTCATTTTTCTTCTGCACAGGGAAAGCAGAAAAGGGAGATTAAAAACAAAGGCCAAGGCCTCTCTTGTCCATAATAATAAAAGAGAGAGAAGAAAGGATACTGATTCTGTCCAATTAAAGTCCAAAATCATAATAAGTTCCCTTAAAACAACAGCCTTGCTCCATCAGTAGTATCCTGGGATTAGTATTAATATAAGTCAGTATTCTGAGCTGTATCGCTCAGGCTTTGACAATGACGTATTAAAACAGGAAAAAGTGACTTTTCAACCTTGGCTCCAGCTTCCCACCTGTCCTAACCTGGGAGGAAAGCAGCTATCATGACAGCTTGATGGGAAGGTCTTCCCCGTATTTCCGAAGCAGCTTCTGATGGTTGTGGTCCACTGACCACTGCTGGGGCAGGTGCTTGGGCTGCATGGAGTCCAGGAAGTGCTGACGCCAGCGGCTCTCCAGCTGCATGAGGGAGCGCAGCCCACCCTGGGTGTGACACTGCACCACCTTGAGCCCGTGAGGAACGTAGTTTTCATTGGAAATCCTGTCAAGACATGAAGTATAAAGGGGCTGAAGGGAACAAGCACAGCGCGGTCTCACAAATGGCTCAAATGCTGCAGGGCAAGGGGATGTGAGGAGGTTGTTAGACTCCTGAAGTTGTTAGTTACTTGAATGTTTTCAAAACATCGTTTTTCTTATTTCTGCCCCTTTTTATAGTTTGAACATACAACTCCCAATCCTACAGGAGGCATTTGGGGATTCTGAGCTATACCTATGCGAATTTCACTGCATGATGCTCCAGCTCCATTGGGGGAGGGGGCTACTATCTAGCTGAATGTTTTATTTATTCCAAGGTTACTCAGTGACCAGCTCACCCTTTCTTTTTTTTTTTTTGAGACAGAGTCTCATTGTGTTGCCCAGGCTAGAGTGCCGTGGCATCAGCCTAGCTCATAGCAACCTCAAACTGCTGGGTTTAAGTGATCCTCCTGCCTCAGCCTCCTGAGTAGCTGGGACTATAGGCACATGCCACCATGCCCGGCTAATTTTTTTCTATTTTTAGTTGTTTGGCTAATTTCTTTCTATTTATAGTAGAGATGGGGTCTCACTCTTGCTCAGGCTGGTCTCGAACTTCTGAGCTCAAGCAATCCGCCCGCCTTGGCCTCCCAGAGTGCTAGGATTACAGGCGTGAGCTACCACGCCTGGCCCATTTCACCCTTTCTTTTAAGTTATCCATTCTGAGCCACACTCAGTATTTATACGAGGCTGTTACATCATTCCACATGTTCCAGTTTTTCATAACATAGGGTAATACCTGAATGTAAAATGCAAGTTGGCACATTTCTTTAGTGACTTCTTTCTCACAAAACAAAAGCCAAACCACATCGATGAGAGAAGTGTTTCAGTCACCATGAAATGCTACTGTGGTGGCTCAGTTCTGCAAATGATGCTGCTGAGTAAGAAGATGAATCCCTACTTCCTTCCCGACTAAACAGAGAGGACTTAAAAAGGCTTTCACCCCTGTGAATAATGAAGATGTTCCTCAAGGAAGTACCCTTCCTGCACACACTCTTTCCTCTCCCTACATCCACACCCCACTTTCAATCCTCTCTCCCAAGACCCCCACCAGTCTAGCAATGTCAGTGCCCTGAGGGTATCTGTAGACATATTATTTAGCTCATGAGCTTCCTGCTAACTTGCCTATCTGTCTCCAAACAGCTGTTCTCCTCAGTCCCAAGTCCAGCATCCATCTATTCAATTCAGCAAGATGAGTTTGTTAGAAAGCTCTGTGGCTGAAAGGGAGAGGTTTAGCTGTTTTAGGAAACATTCAAAGGAGCCATTCTCACTAATTTGTAATATGACCTTGGTAAGTAACTTAGCCTTAAACCTCAAGGTATCTAATATAAAATTTAGAAGGCCAGGTGCAGTGGCTCATGCCTGTAATCCTAGCACTTTGGGAGGCCAAGGTGGGAGGATCACTTGAGGCTAAGAGCTCGAGACTGGTCTGGGCAACATGGTGAGACCTTTTTTCTACAAAAAGATTTTAAAAATCAGCCAGGTGTGGTGGCACATGCCTGTAGTCCCAGCTACTCAGGAGGCTAAGGCAGGAGGATCGCTTGAGCCCAGGAATTCAAGGCAGCAAAGCACTATGATCATGACAGTGCACTCCAGCTTGGGTGACAGAATTTAGAGACAGACCCTGTCTCTAAAATAAATAACAATTAAAAAAAAAAAAACCTTAGAAAGTAATGTCTATTCTACAACCTCACAGAGTAGTTGTGAGGATAAAATGCAATAAATTTTTTTAACTTTGAAAATTTAAAAATGCAAGATACAACATTATCAGTTAACCAGTAAGAAATCCAAATCCTACCTCAAGTTGTTATTAGAAATAATGAAGGCAATGTATATAAAGTTTATTAGCTTGGTGCTGTCAGACATAGTGTATTTATAAATATCCGCTCAATATTATTTACAGTATCTGTGATAGATCAGTAGCATGAGTGAAATAAACATCTTTTGTTTTGCAAAAAATAAATATTTGCTGCTATAATTAAAGTTTTTATTTATTTATATTTAATTGATAACAAAAACCCTACAGGCAACAACCATCACTGTCAGGGTTTTGTGAACTTACCAGTTCACTTATTTCAACCCCTAGTATTGTTGAAACAAGTAACAGTTGGGAAGGAAAACTAAGCCCCAGAGTTCTTATCGTCTGAATCTGTTTTATATCAAGGACTCAAGCATCAGTGGATTTTGGCATCCAAGGGAGGTCCTGGAACCAATGCCCCATACCAAGGGACAACTGTACTATACTAGATGGGGGAATTTCAGAGATTTGAGTATGTTATGTTTGACTATTATTTCACCTCACATGCTAACTTTAGGATTTACCCCTGCATGGGATATATAAGATGCAACTCCACTGCACGTGCACTGTCATGCTAATCATGAATATGACTAGACTTAGCATATGATTTTAAAGGGTCAAGGAAAAACACCTCACAAAAAGCAGATTTTCTATGAAAAGGAAATCCTATTTTTTTTTTTTAATTTTTATTAAAAAGCGACAGGAGGAGAACAGCACCTACTAATGACACGAGTCACCTAGCAACCACTCTCCTCCCCCATCCCTTTTCTTTCCACAGAAAGGAAATTCTAAGGTAGATTATTCTATTCCACCGTCATGGTGTCTTATGCCATTAGACACCCAATGGACTGAGCATGAAGCCAGGAGCTGCAAGCAGCTAATGCCCTTTCCCTTCACTGATCAGAAGCATAAATAGTACCTGGTCTCCAGGCTGGCAGCCTGCTGCAGCATCTCATCTGTGACCGTGTCTGTGCTATAAAACTCCCTGAGTGCTTGCAGCAGCTCCTCCTTTCGGTGAGCGGGCAGGCTCTCCGCGTTGAGCAGGGCCCTGGCCCCGGAACGCACCTGCCGGCGCTCAGGATCTTCCAGCAGGCGCAAGCCCTCCTCAGAACCAATGGGGGCCTGGAACTCCTTGGCCAGCTGCTGCTTCAGATGGTTGTCATAGTAGTTGGAGATGGCGTGACAGGAGGTGCAGAGCAGCAGCACATCATGGGAATTGTGGTCCTTCATCTCAATGGGGAAGTGCTTCCGGTACTCATGTGGAATCACATTCTTTCTGGAATGAGCACACCGGGAAAACAGTGCTCATTCAGTGGCATATGAGACAGAACACATGTGAAGCTAGCAGACAGGCTACTGGGATTCTAATCTGGGCCTAACATGACTGAGAAGACTTGGGCACCACCGCCTAACACAGATTGCATAACGGCAATACTGCCTATTCCACTCTCAGCCCTTCCTGTGCCTTAGGTTCCTCCCTACCTATCTGTGCTCAATGTTCCTCTCTCCTTGAAGTATGACCTCCTGCTGTCAGGCTTCCATGGAAGGCCAGGGATAGGGAGAGGTTAATAACCTTTGAGAAGACTGTACTCCCATAAGGAGGTCTCAGAGAAATGGAAAGACATTCTAGTGGCCTTTGACATCTGGAAAACAATTCTCTCAAAAAAGCTTGAGGACCTGAAAAAGCCAATTTCCTTCATCTGAGGAATCCCTTACTTTGGCACTATTTCCCCGGCTCACCAAGGTCTATCATTATTTTCTAAGAAGAACTAAGCTGTCAGGAAAAGCTCTCAGCAGCAACAACTCTTTGTCTCATGCTGTAGGGGAAGAAAGGAGGAAAGTAAGTAACTCCACAGAAGCCAGGAAGAAAGCCCGAGTGTCGGGGCACTCAGGCCTAGTAGGCAGCCCCACCTTCACTGTGTGGGGACCCTGATGTATTACAGCACAGAGCAGCCTTCGGGTCATCTGGACACTCCATGAACAATAACAAGACTCAGAAGGCTTGTGAGCCACTCAAGGGAGGATTATAAGGACACAGCTTCTACTGGTCTTCAGTCCTGCATAAGCAAAAGGGAACCACTCTCCATGGCAGACTATTACTGAGAATAGTCATGTATTCCAGAAACTAAGGCCTGGTTCAGGAGGGGTAGGCCACTATAGCAAGGCCAGGCAGAATGCAGAAGCTCATGGGGAAAGGCCTCTCAGCCAAAATGGGTAGACTTAGCCAAGGCCTCCAAGGGCTCTGCACATGGCTACCAAAGGCAACTCTCACCTGGAGCAGACAATCAGGCAGCCCAACACAAACCACACTCACCGAATGTAGGAGTCTTTCTTGCCACACACTACACACAGGTTCTCTTTAACCATCAAGTAATAGTCTCCTGGGGATTCAGGCCTTCCCGCGGGTTCAAACCGTAGTTTGACCACAAAAGGCTCTTCACTCACGAGCTCTTAGAAAAAAGAACAGGCGTTAGTGTCTGATGTTCCCCTCACCCTCAACCCCAACCCCACCCCAGGAAGAAGCACCTCCCTAACTGCTTTTCATTGTGTCCTGGCAGAGAACACTATTTCTGGGTTGTGACTGCCTGGTCCCATGTGTCTCAAGGTCTTCCTGCTTTCTTGTACCCATCCTCTTCCCTATCTCACTTCCTATTCCAGCCAGTACCCACATACATCTAATTATAAAGAAACTATGACAGCTGAATCTCACACCTCCAATGCCTTTGTCCAGGTACCACTGAGCTTTTCTTCGATCACAAGTGCAGAGGGGCTGTCCATCAGGAGCATGGAGAAAGCAGTTATCATAAAGAGGTGATTTTCTGCAGGGAAGGGAGAGATCGATCTCAAACTGAAAGCTAATTATTAGTCAAGGTGTCAATTGCCTTCCCATATTCTCTTTTTAGTGACTCAAACTATTCTCTCAAAACTAGGGTCAAAGATACCACTTATGGAAAAAAAACAGGGTAAGAAACCATGTTTAATCCTCCACCTGCATTAGGCTAGGAAATAGAACTAAAAATGAATTAGTTTATGTCTATAGTTTTTATACTTATGGATTGGGACCTTAGGGAGTGAGCTGGGTAGTGTTTACATAGCTCTGCTGTGAACACAAACAGGAACAGAGCAACAAGAAAACTGCCAAATCACTAGATTAAACAAACTAAATTAAAATTTTTAAAGCTCAAGCTAAAGTAATGAGGGCCTGGATTTATTTCTGGCTTACACACAATACTTCCTTCAATTTAATCATCCAATTCCTAAAGGCATTTTGCTACAGGGACCAAACTTCTGCTCCAAAGTACTTATTAGTCATCTTCCTATAACAGAGGTATAAATTGCATAGGAATATTCTCATTGACTAGATAACATTTTCTTAGAGCTGGATATTGTTCTAAATAATCAAATATCATATGAACAAAACACCAAATGATATAGTTCTCCTAAAAAGCATAAGGTACTTACTGTTATTCACTTTCAAAGCTATCCTGAAATAAGCAAGGAATAATAATTATACCCCCATTTACAGATGGGGAAATAATAGGCCTAAGGTCACATCTGGGTCAGTGACAAAACTAGGCTAAGCGCTCCTCATTTCCACACCAATTGTCAAAAATAAAAAGGTAAAAGAAAGGAAAAAGGATTAAAAAATACAAAAATAAAGCAAAGGATAGTCCAAACGTCCCTGAAGGAAAGGAAAAGTAAAATTAACCCTTAGAGAGCCTTTGCTCTCCTCACAAGCCTTCTCCCCAGACCCAAGGTGAAGCATCACACCTTTGCTAAAGGCTGGGCCACTAACTTTTTACTAGACAGAGAACAACTCAGTTACCTTGCAGAATAGCCCACCCCTAGGGGCTTTCTTCTATGTTTTCTGGGGTCTCTTCCTTGGTGGTTGCCTGGTGCCATCCCATCGACCTTAGACTTCTTACTTCTTGGCTTCTGCTGAGATTCTGCTGTTTCACTATTAATCTCTTCTCCCAATCTGATAATTCCTTTGCTTCGAAATGGGATGTCTACCACATCCTGGCATTTCTCCAAGACTTTTCTCCAACCACTGTGGTCATCATTTTTTTCTACAGGTGAATTCCTAGAGAAAGGATATCCAAGAAGATGGAGAAAGAGAGCCACTGAAATCTGGGCATCCCTGGCAGCATAAGTTACCTGAAGAAAAAAGTCAGAGATCAGTGGAATGTGGAAGGCAAACCAGAAAGAGCAACTTAAAAGTCAATCAAAAGATATAGATAACTTTTAGGGTCCTAATATAAAATGTACAATAACCCACATACAATGTATTTAAAACTTTTTATCATGAAAACTTTCAAGCTATAAAAAGTAAATTAAATAGTAAAATTAACTCTCATGTTCTCTATGTTTTTAACTAAAATAGCTTAAAAATGACTTACTCTAAATGCTGGAAAATTCTAATCTATATAAATCAGTGAAGTTTCTATCTACTATCAAACTGCTAGGCAGATTTCTCTCAAGTTTCGGGGGAGGGTAGTTAACAAAGGTCTGACAATTAGTGCATGAAATTCATTTTGGGGATAGTCAGCCCCTAGAAAAGCTGAAATCATAAGAGGCCTGTATGACTGTTAATGAGAAAAGACCTGCAGCCTGGGCACAATGGCTCATGCCTGTAATATAAGCACTTTGGGAGGCTGAGGTGGGAGGCTCACTTGAGGCTAGGAGTTTAAGACCAGCTGGGCAACACAGTGAGACCCTGTCTCTACAAAAAATAATTTTAAAAAATTAGCCAGGCATGGTAGCACGTGCCTGTAATTCCAGCTACTCAGAAGGCTGAGGTGGGAGGATCACTTGAGCATAGGAGTTGGAGGCTTCAGTGAACTATGAACATGCCATTATACTCCAGCCTAGGAGACAGAGCATGACCCTATCTTTAAAAAAAAGAAAAAAGCAGGCCGGGTGCGGTGGCTCATGCCTGTAATCCTAGCACTCTGGGAGGCTAAGGCGGGCGGATTGCTCAAGGTCAGGAGTTTGAAACCAGCCTGAGCAAGAGCGAGACCCCAGCTCTACTAAAAATAGAAAGAAATTAATTGGCCAACTAAAAATATATAGAAAAAATTAGCCAGGCATAGTGGCTCATGCCTGTAGTCCCAGCTAGTTGGGAGGCTGAGGCAGAAAGATTGCTTGAGCCCAAGAGTTGAGGTTGCTGTGCATGGCACTCTAGCCCAGGCAACAGAGTAAACTCTGTCTCAAAAAAGAAAAAAGAAAAAGAAATGACCTGCCATGTCTATTAATAAGATAATATCTTAATGTCTTTAATACCCTTTATTGCTGTGACCCCCACATAAGTTACTTATTTGTGCCTTGGTTCCTTCCTTTTTTTTAAAACAGTTTTATTGAGATATAATTTACATATACTAAAATTCATCCATTTAAAATATACAAATCAATGGATTTTAGTATATTAACAGAGTTGTACAACCATTACCATCATCAATTTTAGAACATTCTCATTACCCTGAAAAGAAACCTAACATCCTTTACCAGTCATCCCTCACTTCCCCCAGCGCTAGGCAATCACTAATTACTCTCTATCTTTATAGATTTGCCTATTCTGGACATTCACATAAGGAATCATATGACATGTGGCCTTTTGTGACTGGCTTTTCTCACTTAGCATAATGCTTTTGAGATTTGATCATGTTGTAGTATGTATCTTTTTATTGCTGAATAATACTCCATTGTACAGCTATATAACATTTTAATTTATCCATTCATCAGCTGATGGATTCACTCAGCTTTTTAATGTCTCCTTCTTAAACATGAATGGACAGCCAAGGATCTAAACATCTGAGAGAAACCTTTAATGTGAAAGACAAAGACCAAAGCAAACATAAAACAAAAAAGGAACTCAGAGGAAAAAGATGGAATGCAGGAAGCAGAAGAAAACTTCAGAAGTCTTTAATACCTTAAGAGAAGATACTAACTACATTTATTAAACAAAAATAGAAAGTTAGTTTAAAAGCAAATATTTAGAGAAGACCAAGAAGCTCTTATAACTTAAAAATATGATAGAAATAATTAAAGATTCAATTAAAAAATTAAAATATAAACTTGAAGAAATTTGCTAGAAGGTAAAAACAGAAAGAAATGGAAAATATTTTTTGAAGAAAATAAGAGGATTAATTCAGGGACTCTAATAAAAAAAATTATGAATTCTAGAAACAAAAAGGAGGCTAGAAAATTTTCAGAGAAGTAATTTGGGTATAAGTCCCTGAACTGAAAGTGATTGAATGGGTCTACTAAATTCTAATACAATGAATGACAAATGGCCCACACTCATGTATTATCATCATGAATTTCAAAAAATTAAGATAAAGATAAGATCTTCCAGAAAGAACAAGTCACATACTTAACACCAATGCTGAAAGCTAGAAGACAAGTGTTAGAGGCAAGGACCCTCAAAGACCCTCAACTCCCCTATGACTTGTCCTACGCACAGGCTTCGCCCTGGAAAATTCCTAGGACAAAAACAACACCCCACCCTCCAGCTATAGTTCCGAAGAATGCGTTCCAAAATGCTCCAGGGTGTGCTAACTGCAATTGTTCCCGACCACCTGCCAGGTTGGGGTCGAGTAATCAGTCACAAACAACCTCGATACCGATAAGATGCTGATTGGGGCTGATTAGCCCAAACCCAAGACTCACCGTCACCCCACTGCATTTTTTGTTTCTACTTCCTTGTTTCTGTATGCTTATAAAACCTACTAAGAATCTAAGTAAAGTAGACCTTGACAACCATTTGCTTGGTCTCGTTCCTTTCTCTTGCCCATCTCTTTCAGGCAAGGTCCCCCTTGACCCCACGAGTAACAGAAGGTCCCGAGGGCCGAGACAAGTGGCGCCCAACGTGGGGCTCGAGGTACGGACTTTTGTCAGATGCACGCGGTTTACAGACAGTTCTCCGGAGAATCCCTGAAGAGACCTCCTTTCTGCCGCTCACAAAATCGACGGTCTGGTGAGTAGATTTTTTACATTGTCATCCCATCGAGATGGGCCATTCTTTGTCTAAAGAGGCCGTTTTCATTAAGGATCTCAAGGCCTCACTCAGAGAGAGAGGAATTAGAGTTAAGAAAAAGGACCTAGTAAAGTTTTTTGTGTTCATTGATCGTGCTTGTCCTTGGTGAATCCTGAGATTCACCCACGCAAATGGCAAAAGGTAGGCAGAGATCTAAACAATTTACTTCTGAATCAGGGCCCAGATGCTGTCCCTGTATCCGTTTTCTCGTACTGGGGACTAATTAGAGATATTGTTGAGGGGGCAGATTCAGACCCCAATAAAAAGCAGCTGCTCTCAGTAGGAGAATTCTGCCTTCGACCTGTGTCGCGGTCCACTTCGAGAACGTCTTTAGAGGCGGCCGAAGGGTCAGCTTCCCCTAATAATCCTGAGAGACCAACATGCCCTTCCCCTTGCCCCTCAGTTTGTATTAATATGCCCCCTCAGGACCCCTCGGCGGAGCTCCAGACATCTAGGGACGAGCCCCCGATTAGTAGGCCAGACACCAAGACCCTCTATCCTCCCTTACCCGAGGGTACAGCCCCTCATGCATTCAATTACCCGGTATTCAAGAAACAACCCCTCCAAGAGTCCCTCGACCCCGTAGAAGAGGCAACCCTCGGAGAGGAAGCGGCCCAGTATCACGATCCCAATTGGCCGCCTCCTTATGCGCCCCAGATTTGCGCACCTTCGTTAATGCCTCCCCTTACAATGCCCTTACTTTTGCGTACCAAAAAAGACATAAGTCAAAGGGTTACGCAATTAAGAGATGTTTTACAACTTCAAAAAGAGTTTGCCTAGCTTTCCAAAGACTTGTCCTCCCTCCAAGATACGCTTAAAGATTCGGTTTTCATTAGCCACCCACGTCATGAGACCGCCCAATCACATGCCACCTTAAATAAAAAATCCTTAAAGTCCTCCCATAAAGCCCTAGCATTCCCGGTAGTTACCAGGTCTAATAGGCAAGGAGACCTTGCCGCCCCTTCTTCTAGCCAGTCCTCGCCCCCAAGATTCAGATAACGAGAATACAGAAGAGAAAGAAAGGGAAAGTGAAAGTGATGACCCCCCAGAGGAGACAGTCCTGGGGCCCACTGCAGAGCCCACTGAATTTCACAGACTAAAGTTTAAAACCTTAAAAGAACTAAATTCTGCTGTTAGGACGTAAGGGCCCAATGCACCCTTTACCCATTCCCTCCTAGAGGCAGCCTCAGGGGGCAGCTACCTGCTCCCCGGAGAATGGGTCAAACTAGTACAGGCGGTCTTTTCTCGCGGATAGTTCCTCTCTTGGATAGTTCCTCTCTTGGAAGGCTGACTTTCTCGACTGCTGTCAGACTATGGCTGCTAATAATTTAAAAAACTCCAATTTTGCATCTTGGACCCTTGAAAAGCTTAGCGGACAGGGGAGATTTGCTACTGAACAGCGCCAAAGGAGACTCCCAATTGGACTTTTGTCCCAGACCGCCGCAGGCCGCACTCGAGCGCCTGCGAACACTTCCCTCCTACGGGTCTGTTCTTACCTCCCTGACAAAAATCACCCAGGGAGCTCAAGAGGGTTAGTGAATTTGTGGGCAGCTTTTAGAGCTGCTGAACGAACCTTCGGACACTAAAGATAAGAATAATAGGCTTATTAAACAATTGCTTGCAAGAGATCTGTAACTAAACAACAAAAAAAAAAAAAACAATTGGCTAAAAAATGCCAACAGCACTTGCAGGCACTCCTCAGGGGTAAACTCAAAAATACAGACTATGACATGATTAAATGTGTTAATGATGTTGACGCCCTTCGCCCAAAGGTATCGCAGGCCGTACAGCTTGCGGGTTGGGCCGCCATCCAAGGGGACCACGCACAGGGGACATGCTTTAAATGCGGCAAACCAGGGCACTTTGCGACAGGTCCCCCTAGCTGTTTCCTCTGACCCTACCTCATGGAGCTCCAGGCAGCAGCCCAGCCTCCTCCTCTGTCCTCACTAGTAAGAGGGAAAGGCATTGGGCCATCATGCCGCTCCAAGACTGATGTCTTTGGAACCCCTTGCCCCCCTTTCAGAACGGCCTGAGGGGCCAGCCCCGGCCCCCAGTCTATCCCATTTCAGATCGGCTCAGGGGAACAGCGACAAGGAGCCCCGACTTTAGCCTCCGAGCAACCACAGGGAGTGCAGGAGTGGACTTGTGTGCCTCCTCCGACACAATATTAGACCTGA